AAGAGGGAGAAGCCAGGCTCCCTGCTGAGCAGGAGTTCAGTTCCCAGGACCCTGGCATCATGAACTAAGCCAAAGGCAGACATTTAACCGACTGAGCCACCCAGGCACCCCTGTTCTTGCAACTTTTCTATAAGTCTAAAATTATTTCAAGATAAAAAGTCAGAGTGCCTAGGTACCTCAGTCAGTTAAATGTCTGACTCTTGATCTCAGCTTAGGTCTTGATTTCAGGGTCGTGAATTCAAGCCCTGTGTTGAGCTCCATGCTGGGCATGTAGCCTACTTAGAAAAAGTTAACAGAAAAAAAAGTTTAAAATGACCTATGTTTATTCAAGGATTCTCTGAAATAATCGTTTTCATCTTTTTGGAGGTCAACCAATTATTTGATGAGAAATACTAACTGCTCCAAAAGTTCACTTATGCCATTTTGCAAGTTCACAGATCCACATGGGGCCCAAATGTGGGCCCCCAGTGAAGAACCCTGGCTCCAAGGGATGTAACTAGGGCTTCAGTGTAGCAGGAAGTGACATCCAACAGATAATCTGAGCAGGAACAACTTTTAGCCCTTACCTCCAGTCCCATTTATGCCTTCATTGTCTGGCTGCTTAGGAGGCCTTTCTACAAAATGTGCTGAAGATGGGGATCCCTGGGTGGCTCAGCAGTTTAGTGCCTGCCTTCGGCCCAGGGCGTGATCCTGGAGTCCCGAGATGGAGTCCCACATCAGGCTCCCTGAATGGAGCCTGCTTCTCCCTCTGCCTGTGTCTCCGCCTCTCTCTCTCTCTCTGTGGGTGTGTGTGTCTCTCTCTGTGTCTCTCATGAATAAATAAATAAAATCTTTAAAAAAAAAAAATGGGCTGAAGAATCATAGCACTTCATGCTCCCCCTTGACATTTCCTTAGAAAGGTCATTATGAAAGGACACACTTACCCACACAACAAAGGGCACCTCCTCTTTCTGAGCCAAGCAGCACCATAAATATACCCTAAAAGGATTCCTACAGGCAGCCCCACTAAGTGTGACCAAAAAGTTAGCTCTGGGCATTAGAGCCTCGGCAGGAAACTATGGTCTAACCCCTAGCACTGGAAATAGATGCAAATATAAACTAAGTGTGGGACATCAATCGCCACCCCAAGCTTCCCCTTCCATCTTCTGCTTTATAAACAACTCCATCAAAAAACTGAATGAAAAAAGGCGTAGTTACATAGTAGAAATAAATGGCAAGAATAAAAATCTGTCTGAACCCTGCACAAATAGTTTTCCACAAAGATGAATGATTTATATTGAAATAGCTGTGAGAGTTACAAAGTTACAAAAGCTAAGATGCACATTCTAGGCATCATTAATGCCAAACTGTTAGCATCAGGTAAGAAAAGTGAGAAGAAAGATAAGACATATTTGCTCAAAGGAACAGAAGCAGCTGCAGACTACAGGAATGGCTTGTCCAAGAAGAGGCCAGGATGACTTCCAGCCCTAAGAAAGACCTAGCAAGTCAAGAGGCACTTGGATGGCTCTAGCTGAGAATTTAACCTTTCCGAAGAATTGCACTAACACGGAGATCCCTTTCTTTCTGGTAGGTTCAGCTCCTCAAGCCTGGCCACTGGGCAAAAAGGACCTGAGAGACAGGCAGCTTTCTGCCAAGCACTGGCCTGCATGACGGACATAGTGGGATAGCTTTGGGGGGATGGGAAGGCTGGTTAGTTCAGTGAATGTACAGAATAGTGGTACGGAAGAAAGAAAACACAGTTGTTGAAAATGAATAAAGGGGCTTGCATTTCTGACACGGACTAGAATAAACACAGACTCAAAACATAATGGAAATTGTTCTGATAAACTCTTCCAGGAGGGCAGATTCTTTACCACTCGAGACCCAAAGACTGTTCAGAATGATGGCAGCAAGCGAAGGAGTGGAGCTCTCCTGCAGCATCTCACCATCTCGTGGAAACTTCCAGGGCAGCAAATCCCTTCAAAGAAACCAGTCAAGTCCTTTCCAAGTCAATTATTCACTTTACAAACGTGGATGCTGCAGCTTTCGTTCCACATTTATAATACATTTATCTTATTTTCTCCCCTGAGGAAAATATTCTAGACATACCTTAGTCCCTTTCACAATTTTTGCCATTCAATAGTTAGAGGGAGAAAAATGTCCTGTTTCACCTGGCATTTTTAAAAAATTAATAGTGATATCCCTGGGTGGCGCAGCGGTTTGGTGCCTGCCTTTGGCCCAGGGTGCGATCCTGTAGACCCGGGATCGAATCCCACATCGGGCTCCCGGTGCATGGAGCCTGCTTCTCCCTCTGCCTGTGTCTCTGCCTCTCTCTCTCTCTCTCTCTGTGACTATCATAAGTAAATAAAAATTAAAAAAAAAAGATTAACAGCAAATCTGAGTATTTTTTCTTTAATCCTATTTTTTTCTTTTGTGAGTTGCTGTACGTTGCCAAACTTCTATTGAAATGTTTTCATATGTTATCTTTAAACATGAAAGTTACTAATATTTTCCCAGCTTATCATATGTTAACCTCGTAAATGGTGTTGACACACATAAGTGTTGGATTTTAATACACTAAAATCCAGCAATCTTATTCTTTACTGTTTCTACCTTTGTTACCATGGTTAGGAAAGTCTTTCCTATGCTAAGATTATAAAAATATTAAGCCATACATTCTTCCAGGCCTTTTGTAGATCTAGGTTTTACATTTTACATTTAATCCATTTGGAGGCTAGTTTGGCTATAGTAAGGTAAACATTTAACTTTATTTCTTTCCCAAATGGTTGTTAGCCTTTTGTCATAACACCATTTATTGCATTATCTGTCCTTGCCTAGTGTTTTGAAATGCAGGCAAGTTGGGGGAATAGTTCTTCAGCAATTTTTCAAATCTATCCTACTGATACCATCACCCTGCTTCCCCACCTCCTGTTGAGTGTGGGCCTTAAGCTGCTGGTAGTAGTTGAAGACTGGGTCCCATTTAGGATTGGGGTGAAGACTGCTAGGTGTCTGTCTAGGGAGCAATAGGTCTCATCAACTCCAGGCCTAACTGCTTTCTCCCCCATTTCCATTCAGTATGCCCACTTTCCTGAGACTCCTTAAGAGAATTTATGCAGATTTGTGTGAGAAAAATAACTACAAGTCCCCTTTTACAGCCACTGTTTTCCACCAAAGCTTTGTCATCTACTTTCACCGTGTGATCTAAAACTTGTCCTAACATCCACAGCTGATCCTGACCTCAACAGAACCAATATGCCCAGAGTGATTTCTAGGAGCCTGGTGCTGCTTATCAGCTGGAAAAATGACTCCTGGGTTTTGGGAGGTGATACACACAGCCCTACTGACACAGCCTTGGGAGAGAAGCAAGCAGAGACACTCATACAGCAAACACAAGGATTGGCCTTTACTACGTGCTTCCTGAGCTTTGAAATGATAAAAGTGTCTGGATGTTCAGCAAGGAAAGAGAGAGAGAGGAGTGATTGTGCCCCATCCCCTGGTGCCCTACCCCTTTCTCTCCCTGACTCTCCCTAACAAACAAACAACAGAGGAGGCATCACAGAGAACTCCTCAGTGGTGCTAAGGGGACTTTTAGGAGATGGGTATCAGTCATAGTAATGACTACCACTTAAGAACCAACTTATTACACTCTGTATACTCTGTGAAATTAATTTTTTGTTCTGTTTTGCTTAACAGATAAGTGCCTGTGGGGTAGAGGACAAGGATATAGCAAGAGGTAAGTTTGGTGTCTGAAGCCCTCCATTCAAGAGGGCAAAACCAGTGTCCAAATGGGAGTTCTGGAGCAGGGAGCCTGAAGAGCACAGTGAGCAAGAGAGCTCCAGGGAAAAGGAAAAGTAATGGCGATTCTAAGGAGGAGGGAGCCCCAGGCAACAGCAGCCTCAGTCATCAGGAACTTTAAAGCCATTCTTCTGCGTCCAAAATTTTCTCTTGAGGAGAGGTCACGATCTTATAAAAGTACATTTGAAGAGGCTTAGGGCATCTTTAGAGAACCTTTATCTCACAGATGCTCAAAAGCAATCTTACCCCTAGAAGTATCACACAACGGAGACTAAGGACTTCACTGCCTGTGTTTGAGTGGCACTTCAGAGACGCCCCATAAAAAAAGAGCTCTTGCACCACGTGCTGAGTGATTATCAGAGCTTACAATTCCTCCACGTTTCAATCACATCTCCAGTTAAGAAATCTAATTTGTTACCCTAGAAAATACTGTTTTCTTTCCATAATTCATAGAGTACATGAAGAACGACTTTTTCTGGGTTCACTCACGTACCTGCCTTTTGCTCTGAAGGAACAGAATGAGGGTTGCCTGGCCTGAACCCTGGCTCTCCCAAGAAACTCACCTGGTGCCTGTTCTGCCACTTAACCATACCCTGGCCTCCCCACCAGGGTAAGAAGCCTACCCAGAGCCCTGCAGCTAGTCAACGGTGGAGCTGATGTGCAAATTCAAGACAAGTATCTTACTAAAGAGATCTGAAAGGGGTAACTCTACACCAGACAAAAGTATCCTCCTCCCAGATCCTCGAAATTCTCCGGTTGTGTCAAATTCTTCCCCCACAGTCCCTGCTTGAAAGATTTGCTCCTAGCTTCAGAGCCCAAACTGCAAAACATTTAGCCTTTGCTCATGCAGCAGCTCAATACAAAACCCTTAAGCACCCAAGGCTTTTCTCTCCACAAGACTTTGTTTCCTTCCACGCAACACTGCAAGAACCCGGAATTCCCGATTTCCTAGCCCAGCTGACTGCTTTCCTAGACTGCTGTACCAGACATAGCTAAACTGAGCCGCTGCGCAGCGCGCTCACTCTCGGAACTATGTTGGTACATCAGAGGCCTCGGCCCAGAGGCCGAAGGGGATCTGCCTGAGGGCCCCGCCCCGTCGGGACCTTCCGAGCCCGAGCGGCAGGGCGCGCCGCCGGACTACGTTTCCCACAGTGCTCCGAGACGCCGGGACGCCCAAGGCCCGGGACCCGGCGGGCGGGCTCACGCGCAGCCTCCTGGGAGTTGTAGTTCGGTCCGCTCGCGCCGGCGCTGCGGTGGGCTCGGCGCTGGCCTTTGTCTGTCTGCGGGCGCGCGCCGCTGCGGTGAGTGAGGCCGCGGGCCGGGTCAGTGCGCCCCGGCGAGGCGGGGCCGCGTGGGCGGGCCGTCGCCCCCGGGCCCTACGCGGCCCTGAGCAGGCCGGGCGGCCTGAACCCCGAGGGAGGCCACCCGCGAGGGGAGAGGCGTGCGGCCCGCAGAGAAGGGTCCAGCTGGACCGGAGAGCGGGGCTCTGAGGTCCAGCACGCAGGGCGGGCCGGGCGGTCCTGAGGCGGGAGGGGAGGGTGTGCCCGCGGGAGCAGGGGCCACCCGACCGCCGCTCCGCAAGACAGAGCATGGGTGAAGGCCCCGCACCCTGGAGACGCGGGAAGGGGAGGCCACAGGCAGGTGTGCCCAGGGGCCTGCAGTGAGGATTTGACCACACGGTCTGGGGAAAATGCTGCCTCTCCAGGGAGGGGGGTGGGAGAGAAGACATTTGTCAGGGTGGAGAATGGGAGAAAGGACAAAATGGATTCAGATGTGAATCGCCCCTACCCTCATCTCCTAAACCTGAGACTGTCGCCCAAGAGGTTCCAGAGACAGCAAAGTTTACCTCCTCTGCCGGGGCTCCCCTGAGGACTCTCAGCTTCAGGCCTTCAGTCTGTAGGTCCTGTCAGAGATCCTTCACATTTGGTTCTTTTCTTCTCCCAAGAGTTACCTGATATGACAGTGTTATTAACCTGTTTAGTTCCTGAGGAAATAGAGCCAGGGCTGTTTGGTTACTTGTCCAAGGTTGTATGCGGGTGGGGGAGAAGTCAAGGCAAGAATCCAAGGCTCTTACGGCCTAATTCTGAATCTTTACAAAGGATAAATAACCTTTCTGGTAGGAAAAGCAATTTTCTATTAATAAAGCCACTTCTCCAAAATCTTCAGGAGATTACTTCCTCAGATTTGTGACCTAGGGAGAAAAATAAAATAATCTTCCTTTATTAACCAAGGCAGTTCCTGAGACACAGCTGAGCTTTTACTTGTTGGAAGATCTCATAGCATGTGGAGAGGCAGAGCTATAAATTCTACCCACTAGTTCTGACCAGACTAGTTGCTGGATTATGCAGTTGTTGAGCAATAACACCCTGAACTAGCAAATGAATGTCCTATAGCATTCTGGTACCCTCATAAAAGATTCCTTTTTAGTTTCTACTCCAAATTGGTGCTGAGGCCTCCAAATACAACTTTAAAATGCTTCTCCAGTCAAAACAAATGTAGCATAATATATAGTTGTCAAGACCAGGTGCTCAGGTTAACAAAACAAGAATTGTAATTATTTGTAATTATTTACTATTTCAGTAAATCAGGAGGCCAGCATTTTGATGAGATATATTGGAGGGAATATGCACTGAATCACTGCATAAAGTACAGATTTAGTAATTTGGGTCATAAAGTAAGGGGGAGGGATCCCTGGGTGGCACAGCAGTTTAGCACCTGCCTTTGGCCCAGGGCGCGATCCTGGAGACCCGGGATCGAATCCCACGTCGGGCTCCCGGTGCATGGAACCTGCTTCTCCCTCTGCCTATGTCTCTGCCTCTCTCTCTCTCTCTCTCACTGTGTGCCTATCATAAATAAATAAAAAAATTAAAAAAAAATAAAGTAAGGGGGAAAAAAAAGATAGATAATATGGAGCAAGAGGATTCCTAGGATCTTGAAGAGTAGTAAAGTCTGGTCAAGCACTGTTATATTCTGTTCCATTTTATAAAAGTTCTCACCAGCTCTTTAGTGAAACTAGAGACCTGTCTAGTGTAAAGGCGTAGACTTTGGATCTCGAAAGTCTTGAATTTGATCCTTTGTCCACCCTGGACTCCTTATTGGCTCTGAGAATTTGGGCAGGTTATTTATCCTAGTTGGAGTGCCTTGGGCTTGGTTTTGAGAGTCTAAAGTAGGTCTTCCTCTTCCAAGAATTGACAAGTATTTACACTTAGAATTGGTATTCTCATATCTTGAAGAATAGGAGAGGGGTGGATCTGGATCTGGAATCTCCTAAATAATGTTAAAAGGTAAACATATGAGATCTCTTGCTTTGTCCTTATAACTTAGGGGGAACTGGAGGGGAGAGCTAGAGCCATTTTCATCTTAGAACAAATCATGAAGGCTGAAATGTTTTTTTTTAGATGCTGAATTCCTTTCAAGGCTTGAAGGATAAAAGAGTAGGTGGTTAGGTGGGGGAAGGAAGTGGGAAATCCCAATCACATGCCAAGGCTAAAGTACAAACAAGAGTGACCATTATCTTGGGATTGGCAGGAAGAAATACATATGTTCTCTGCTTCCCCACCTCATGTTTCCACTGTGACTCATTTATGTGTGGTCATGGTACTTTTTGGCCAACTTTGCAGTTACATTATAAGTGATTACATCACGCCAATCCAGATTTCCTCCATTTACTCCTACCCCAAACTGCAGCTCCTGTTGACTTTATGCTTCTCACCTATTAATTCTCCTGCCCTTATCTGTTGTTTTTGTTGTTCTGTTTTTTTGTTTTTTTCCTTTTCAGGTGTTCAAGAATAGCCCATGGAAGAACCATATGAAGAGGTGGTGATTAAGGTCATACAGCAGGCGTGGACATGTTTGGATTTCCAACAGCTACCCTGCTGGATTGTCATGGAAGATATGCTCAGAATGTAGCATTTTTCAGTGAGTGAGTTGGTTGATTGCTGAGATGACCTCAAATGACAATATTCAGTGTTCCTGTACTCAAGCACTGGTCAGCAGGCTGAGGAAGTAGAGGAGACATTCTTTTATAGGAGTTTACTATTCCTGGGGTCTACAGGGAAGGCCTGCAAGCCAGAATTAGAAATAACATTAGAAATAGCAAGAAAATGATCTTGATATGGAGGTAGTTTTGAGGTAGTCTCTGAAAAAATGAATAAGCAGCTTTATATCTCTGCACAATTACTGAATAAGGGTAAGACAAGAGAACAAGGAGAAAATCTTCCTAGGATGACTCCAAGAAAACTGTTAATAGTGATAAATGGACCCATAATAAAGTACAGTAAGAGACTCAGATGTAGAGCAGTATGGAAAACACTGTCGGCATCTGCATAGGAAATATTTGAGAATAACTTCCAAGCCAAAATTGATTTCAGTTCCACTGTAGCTTAGTAGACTGAAATAGCATGGATATTAAGGGGGACATTTCCTTGGATCAGATTCTATAATTTTCCTACTTTGATCTAAGATATCAGAAAAATTATTTAACTTCCTTGAGCTCCAGGCTCTTCATCTGTAAAATGGGACAGTAAACTACCTTGCAGGGTTACTGGGACTAGAGATAATAGATGTAATGTATCAAAGATTCTGATACATATTTTCTGATGTCATGGTGCTTACTTGTCAGGACAACAGATTGGCGCAGAGATAGATTTCTCATGTATTGGTCTCTTCAGGCCCCAGTATCTAATTTTACAGTTTTTCTTAATGTAATGCCTCCAAAATTTTAAAGCTTTCAGCCCTACACAACCTGGATCCATACCTGTTTTGGAGTCAGATAAAACTTGGGTATGGGGCTCTAATTGATCCTATGTAGTTTTCTCAATTTTTCTGAGCCTGTTTTCTTATCTACAAAATGGAGATAATCATGTCTACCTTACCAGATTCTTTGGGAGGCTAAATTAAACTAAATTTAGAGGCAGAATACTACTGTGGATCATGCCTGCATTTGAATATCAACTCTACACTTAGCTAGCTGCAAGATCTGTGACAACCTCCCTCCCTATGCTTTCATTTCTTTATCTGTAGCACTCTCATAGGATTGTTTTCAGGATTAAATTATCTATGCAAAATTCATAGTATAATGTCTGGCACATAATAAGCATTCAAAGCATTGTTTCTTTTTTCCCTATTCTTCTCAGCATATTGGTGCATCTTACATGACTTCCCTCTCATTTTACCAGATGTGATGACAGAAGCCCACCACAAATATGATCACTCTGAGGCCACAGGATCCTCAAGCTGGGATTTCCAGAATTCTTTCAGAAGAGAGAAGCTGGAACAAAAATCCCCAGATTCTAAGACACTACAGGAAGATTCACCTGGAGTGAGACAGAGGGTCTATGAGTGTCAGGAATGTGGAAAATCCTTCAGGCAAAAAGGTAGTCTAACCTTGCATGAGAGAATCCACACTGGTCAAAAACCCTTTGAGTGTACCCATTGTGGAAAAAGCTTCAGGGCCAAAGGCAATCTTGTTACACATCAGCGAATACACACAGGAGAAAAGCCCTATCAGTGCAAGGAGTGTGGGAAAAGCTTTAGTCAACGAGGTAGTCTGGCCGTTCATGAAAGACTCCACACTGGACAGAAACCCTATGAATGTGCTATTTGTCAGAGAAGCTTCAGAAATCAAAGTAACCTTGCTGTTCATAGAAGAGTTCACAGTGGTGAAAAGCCCTATAGATGTGATCAGTGTGGAAAAGCCTTCAGTCAGAAAGGAAGCTTAATTGTTCACATCAGAGTCCACACAGGCCTGAAACCCTATGCCTGCACACAGTGCAGGAAGAGTTTCCACACCAGGGGCAATTGTATCCTGCATGGCAAAATCCACACAGGAGAGACACCCTATCTGTGTGGCCAGTGTGGGAAAAGCTTCACTCAAAGAGGGAGTCTGGCTGTGCACCAGCGAAGCTGCTCACAAAGACTCACCCTTTGACCACTCTCTTCAAAGGAAGTTTTCTTTATGAATTAAAAGTACAAAATCCTCAGATCAAGCAACCTATCCAATTCTATGGAATGAATGGAGACTCTTTCAGAAAGACCATCATAGGGTAGGGCAAACTGACTTTTCCCTTTCCCCCCAAATAAGTATGAAAAATAAATGTCTTGTTTATTATCATTATCACATATGTTTCATAATTTGTCAATTTATTTTGACCGAAGTTCCCAAAGTACCTCCATTAATCTAGTGCATACTTGGGAGATTGTTCTGTGTATAACATATAAATTTTAAATTTGTAAGTTGACACCATTAAATAGATCAGCTCTTATGAATCCAAAGTCTTCTCTTTACATATCCAAATCAATCTTGTATTGGATTCAAGACCTCTGGGAAGATATTCATCCCAAAACACTTGATAGCAAATCTTTATCATCTAGAGAGGTAAATTATATCAAAGGTCTTTGGGCACAGAAATGCTTTAGAAATACTATGGCTTTGAATAGTAATATAATATTGGCCCCGAAGACACCCTGATACCATTTGAAGATGTATACAAGAATGTTCATATCATCCCAATTCATAATAGTCATAAACTGGACAAAACCCAATATCCAACAATACATAAAGTAGTATATTATAGTATGTTCATATAATGAAATAGGACTCAACAATAAAAAAAAACAAATGATACATGAAATAATATGGGAGAATCTCAAAGCTTTATGTTGAATGAAAGAACACACACACACACCAGGAAAAACTAATTAATAGAATAGAACTAATAGATTCAGCTAGTGGCCAACTATGGGAGGAAGAAACTGGGTAAGGACTTGAAAATGGCACAAAACAACTTTATAGAGTGAAAACATTCTCTATACCTTATTTCAGGTAGTGGATGCTTGGGTCTGTACAATTGTCAAGATTCACTAAGCTCAGTATCTACAGTCTGCATTTTTTTTTCTGTAAAGCATACTTCAGTAACAATGAGGCAGTCTAAAAATACTGCACACAAGTTCTTTAACACTTAACTCATGAAGAGATGGGGGGGGGTCTGTCACCTCCCCTTGAGTTTGGGTAGGGTTGTGACTGCTTCAAGCACAAAAACAACTGTTGCTACATGATTTCCAAGAATAGGTCTGAAGAGCTCTTTAAAGGTGTGAAACTTTCTGCATGATTCTCTTGAGACACATACTCTGAAGAAAACCAGCTGCCATGTAAAAAGTCAATCTTGAGGCCACTATGATGGACAAGCTCCAGTTGACAGCTTCAGCTGAGCTCCCAACAGACAGGCAGCATCAACTACCAGCCATGTGAGTGAGTTATTGTAGCTGTCCAGCCAAGTGCAACCTTCAGGTGACTGGAGCCCCATATGACATCTGACCAAAACTGTATGAGAGCCCTAAGTAAGTCTTCCCAAATTCCTAACAGACAAAATCATTAGAGAAATCAAAAGTTATGGTTTTATACCACTAAATATTTAGATTATTTATTATACAGCAATAATAGAACATTTTCTAAAAGGATAAGATACTGTGAAAAGAAAAGGAAAAATCTGGAAGAACAACTTGAGATTTACTTCCTGATTAAACCAAAACAGGAAATTATGATTCATGATTCATCAGAAAACAAGATTTAAAAGTAAACATTTCTTTTGACAAAACAGAAGGCAAAGTATAGATTAATTAACCCAGATACAAGTTACAACATGAAGAAGTAAATGCTGGTCTCCAGCAATCCTGCACTGTAAGAAATTTATTGGATAGATAGATAGTAACAATGAGGCAGTTTAAAAACATTTCCCATAAATTCTTCAACATTAATCTCATGAAGAGATGGAGGTCTTTTTCACCTCTACTTGAATCTGGGTAAGCTTGTGACTGCTTCAGGCACACACACACACATACACACACACACACACCAAAAAAAAAAAAAAAAAAAAAAAACCAGAACTAATGGCACATGACTTCCAAGAATAGATCTGAAGACCTCTAAAGGTGTGAAAAGTTTCTGCATTAAGTACACACATATCTATATATAGACATCTTAGAATCCTGGTTCTGCAGAAAAGAAATGAGTAAATAAAGAGTAAATAGATTAGAAAATATAAAAGATCTTTTATAATGTTCTTTTTTTAAGATTTTATTTATTCATGAGAGACACAGAGAAGCAGATGCAGGCAGAGGGAGAAGCAGGCTCCCTGCGGAGATACTGATGTGGGACTCAATCCCAGGACCCCAGGATCACACTCTGAGCCAAAGGCAGACATTCAACCACTGAGCCACCCAGGTACCCCTAAAATGTTCTCTTTATACATAAGTTATTAAATTTCTTTAAAGATTGCTGGCTGCTTCTATTATAGTAATAACAAAAGAGAATACCAGATTAAGAGGACAATGTAGGAAGATCCTGGATTCACCTCTTCACACATAAACCTAATCTACAGCTACCTATGAAACAATTTCCTCTGGGGGGGAAAAAAAACAACTAGAAACTCACTGAGTGACTCCAACAGATAACACAAATAAGAAAAAACTCACACTGAAGCTGGTAGGAGAAGTGGAGACGATTGCCATAAATCTACCCTTGGTGCAGCAACCCACATTCAGGAGGGAACCCCAACCTGGAGCTTCTTTCTGAGGAGCAAAGACTTTGAGCCCCAAACTGGGTACTCCAACTTTTAAGACTTGAGACATGTGTCCCCAAAACATTTGGCTTTGAAAACCAACAGGACTCACATTCAGGAGACCCACAAGGCAAGGCTAGAGTGAACTGAAAAACAGCTCTTAAAGGCGTCTCATGTTTAGACTTATGCCCGGGACCAGCATGGAAGCAGCCAATCCAGAAGCATTCAGATTTCCGGTGAAAGAACCTTATTTTCTTACCTTAAAGTGATGGCCTGAGGCACAAGCATCTAATTTAACACACACCTAGGGGCCTTGCATTTCCAGGTATGGAAAATGGCTGGCACCATCTTTCCATTCTCCCTCTGCCTCACTTCAGCCCACTGGTGTCTCCCAGAAAAGAGCTTATAGCTTCCTCTGGCATACCAATTATTGCAGCTGTGGCCCAGGTGGACAACTCTAGTTGCCTGGCTCTGGTAGCCAGTGGGGCTTATGCTCATGGGTCCAAAGGACTGTAACCAATGGAGAAATAAGTTAACTGGCTCCCACCCTCAGGGCACAACAAGAGACAATAGACCAAGGCACTCAGTCTCTCTATGAAAGAGCCCTATTAGCTTATCTTCATAGATGTGGCCTGAAGGGCAGTATTCTAATTAAACATATAGGTAAGGGCACACTATAATTCTCTCCAGAGACCTCAGAGGGCAGTCATTATCTTCATTCTCCCTCTGCTGTGCTCCATAGCACCAGTATTTCCCAGAGAAAGCATGTCTCTGGTATGCTGGTTTTTATGGGTACAACCCAGAGGACACCCCTTGAATTGTCTTTCTCTAGTGGCCAATAGGGCTTGTATTCTTGTAGCCCAGGGGATTGTTACAAAGAGACAGTTCTTGGCTGGCCACCAACCCTAAGGCACTGTGCAGAGAGGAAATTGAAACACACCCCTAGTCTTTGTGGGAAAGAGATCTATTTGCTTGTCCTGGAACATCAGCCTGAGAGGCAGGCTTCTGGTTTGGCACACAACTAAGTGCCTACTGAGATACACTAAGAGATGGGTGCTAGTGGATGCCATGTTCAAGCTCTCTGCCTCACTCCAGGTCCCTGGTATCTCCCAGAAGGAAACTTGTATACTCACCTGGCACCTAAATATGAGTGACTGCCTGCCACCCAGGGGACACTTCTAGAGCATCTAGCTTTGGTGACCAGTGGGACTTACACTTGTGGTCCCATAGGACTGTGTATATTTGCAAAAGTTAGAAGCTACTGCCTGAGCTGAACCTAAGTGCTGCTTGATATCCTACCCTTTGGGACACTGACAGGTCTTAGCACATCCTCTGCTAGTAGGAGGCACTAAAATAAAATAGGCTGCTTGGACAATCATGAAGGCATGATTCTACTTATCCCTTGAGAGGTAACCAAGAGTTAGGGCAAGGTTTGCATGATAAGGCTCATCTACTACACAAGTCTACTTCATCAAGACTGGGAAAGGTGACTATTTTATCCAGCACATAAAAACCAACACAGAAAGAAGGAAAATGAAGAAATAGGGGAATATGTTCCAAATGAAAGAACAAGATAAATACTTCATAGATGTGGCCTGAAGGGCAGTATTCTTTTTCCCTTCAGGGGAAAAGTCCTTAATGAAATGGTGATAAGTGAGTTACCTGATAGGGAGTTCAAAACATGGTCAAACAGATGCTCACTGAACTTGGGAGAACACATGAACACAGTGAGAACTTCAAAAAAAGGTACAGATAATATAAGAAGGAACCAAATAGAAGTCATAGAATACAAGAAGTGAATTGAGAAATATTGTAGAAGGACGACTGGGTGGCTCAGCAGTTGAGTGTCTACCTTTGGCTCAGGGCATGATCCCAGGGTTCTGGGATCAAGACCTGTATCAGACTCCCTGCATGGAGTCTGCTTCTCCCTCTGCCTGTGTCTCTGCCTCTCTCAATCTCTCTCTCTCTCATAAATAAATAAATAAAATTTTCTAAAAAAAGAAAAATATTGTAGAGGGGTTAAATAATGAAGCAGAAGACTCAGTGAACTTGAAAACAGGGCAGTAGAACTCACCCAGTCAAAGCATCAAAAAAAGAAGAAGAAAAAACAGTGAAAGTACCTTAAGGGACTTATGGGACAACATCATGTGGACCAACATTCACATTATAGGGGTTCTACAAGGAGAACAAAAAGAGGCAATTTACTGGAAAAAGAAATGTCTAGAAACTCCCTTAATATAGGGAAGGTAATATATCCAGAACATATCCAGGAATCCCAGAGTTCCAAATAAAATGAACCCCAAAAGACAACAAAATGCTTTATAATTAAAGGGTCAAAAATAAAAGACAAGGAGAGAATCCTAAAAGCAACAAGACAAAAACAACATCTTACATGCAAGGAACTCCCCCCCCCCATAAAGGTATCAGCAGAAACTTTGTATGTCAAAGAAAGTGGCTTATATATTCAAAGTGCTGAAAGAAAAAAAAAAAAACTGCCAACCAAAACTATCGTACCAGCAAAAGAAAAAAAAGTCCTTTATCCAGCAGGATAGTTTTTCAG